CCCCCCTCTCTATCTCCCACCTCGCTCCCCTTTCCCCTCCCTCTCTCCCCCTCCCTCTCACCTCCAAGTGTTTGTTGGCCTCCTCGTTGCGCGACATCAGCATGAGCTTCGTTCGGATGCTCCGGAGGTGCATGTCGCCCAGCAGAGATGCCCGCTTGACCGTGGACTCGTTCGTGGACTAAAGGGGGGGGGGGGGCTTGGCCGGAAATCAGGGGCTCCCCCCACCCGAAAGCACCTGGAGGCCTTGCATCTGGGTGTGGGAGCCCCCATTTTTGGGGTCCGGGCCGTTCGAAGCTGCCAGAAGGGGAGAGGGTGGGGGCCCCCGCAGGCTCTCTCCCTCCTCCGCCCCCCCCCAGTTTCCCCACCGGGCTCCCTCTCCTCCTCTTCCTCCTCCTCCTCCCCCCCCCTCCAGACGAGCAAGCAGCTGGCCTCGGCCTTCCAGGAGGAGTTCACGGTGCGCGAGGACCTGATGGGCCTGGCCATCGGCACCCACGGCGCCAACATCCAGCAGGCCCGCAAAGTGGGGGGCGTCACGGCCATCGAGCTGGACGAGGAGACCTGCACCTTCCGCATCTACGGGGAGGTGAGGTGATGAGTCGGGGGGGGCGGGGGTGTCTCTGTGTCGGGGATCGGGCATCCTCTCCCACTGAGCAGGCCTGGGCGCACTCCCCCTCCCCCTCTTTCCCCCCCTCCCTCCCTCCCTTCCTCTCTATTCCTCCCTCTCCCTCTCCCCCTTCCCCTGTCTCCCTCTTCCCCCCCCTCTCTCTCCCCCCCTTTCCCTCCCTTCCCCCTCCCTCCCTCTCTCTCCTCCACTTCAGATCCAGGAAGTCTCTCCCGGGGGCAGGGGGGCGGGAAACTCTTGAGGTGAGTAGAGTGACCAGCATTAAAACACCGGAAGCGACCTCTGGAACGAACGTCTCTGGCGGTTCTGGCTCGTCTGCTTGTCCCAAAGGTACTATTTATTCCCCCCCCCCCCCCCCCCGGCCCCCCCCGGCCTCCCTGGGTTTTTTGTTCTCCCCCCCCCCCCCTTCCTTTTTTTCCAAAAACATTTCCCTTCTCATCCCAGAAGTTTCTTCCAACTCTGGAGGGTGGTCCTTGCGGACAACTGGTCATTTCCATCCCTTTTAGAAAGCCATTGAGGCCACTTGGGAGCTGGATCTGTGTCCTCCCTTGAACCCGCTCGGCGTGTTGACGGGAGTAGCAAGGGATTTCCAGGGGGGAAATAAATTTCAGGGTATAGGAACCCCAAGGATAGAGATCGACCTCCCAAGCGGCCTCAACGGCTCTCTTAAAAAGGATGCAAATGACCAGCTGTCTCCAAGGAGTAGAAATCCTCCCCTTCCGTTCAAGTGGGAACCGAAGAAGCTGAGAAGCGAAACATTCTTCAAAAGAAAATAATAAAATAAAAATAAAATAAAACCAAAGGTGGCATCTACCCCCGGGCAAGAATAGCAAGGATGTTCATGGACAAACCGGCAAAGTGTTGGAAATACCCGGATCATATTTATCACCTGTGGTGGACATGTGTCTGGAAGCCAAAAATAAATAACAATAACTGGACTAAATAAATTCACACGTGGCTGCGAGAAAATAATAATAATGACAAAACAGCACCTAGATCTAAAACCAGAGATATTTTTATTGGGCTTTTTTTTGTTGTTGTTGTTGTTAACCGGAAGGATATAACAGAGAATTGACATATAGGATTATTCGCGTTTTCGCTTGCAGCTAGAATTGCTATTTGCTCGCAATTGGAAAAATGAAAAAAACAAAAACAAAAAATCAAAACTCTGACGGAGGTGATAAAGAAAAGGATGGAATATGTGCAAAGATGAGTCGATTAATATTAGCAATTAATAATCTCTTTCTTAGTTTTTATTGTTTTTATTTTTTTAATACGGTTTTACATTGTGTAAGCTGCCTCGAGTTGCCATGGGCGAATAGGTGGCAATATAAATAAAATAAAATAATAAAATAAATAAATATATATATAGAGAGAGAGAGAGAGTGACTCACAGACGAACCCAATACAGAAGCCTGATGATGGCCGATGACATTCTGCTGAAACGTTGCTACAACTTTAAAAGGACAACTACAATGACGTGGGAAAATATTAATATATATATATGTGTGTGTGTGTAGATTTTCACAGGTACAGGTATATAGGTCTAGGCGTGTTCAGATCTTTTCCCGTGTAAGATTAAGGGTATCTTGGCGATGTTTCGGCGAGGTCCCACTCGCCATCCTCAGGCTGGTGCAACCACTGCTTGCCCTGGCATGAAGCCGAAAGCACCACCCTGAGGATGGTGAGTGGGACTTCACTGAATCGTCGCCAAGATACTCTTAATCTTACACAGGAAAAGACCCGAACACACCTAGAACTACACACATATATATATTTATATTTATATATATGCAGGTCTTGGTGTGTTCGGGTCTTTTCCCATGTAAAACCAATCTTATGTGTATGTGTAAGAGATATATATATATAAGATACATATATGTATAAGATATATATACACTGCTCAAAAAAATAAAGGGAACACAAAAAGACATCCTAGATCTGAATGAATGAAATATTCTTATTAAATACTTTGTTCATTACATAGTTGAATGTGCTGACAACAAACTCACAGAAAAATTCTCAATGGGAATCAAATGTAGCAACCCATGGAGGTCTGGATGTGGAGGTACACTCAAAATTAAAGTGGAAAAAAACACTACAGGCTGATCCAACTTTGATGTAATGTCCTTAAAGCAAGTCAAAATGAGGCTCAGTAGCGTGTGTGGCCTCCACGTGCCTGTATGACCTCCCTACAACGCCTGGGCATGCTCCTGATGAGGTGGCGGATGGTCTCCTGAGGGATCTCCTCCCACACCTGGACTAAAGCATCCCCCAACTCCTGGACAGTCTGTGGTGCAACGTGGCGCTGATGGATGGAGCGAGACATGATGTCCCAGATGTGCTCAATTGGATTCAGGTCTGGGGAACGGGCGGGCCAGTCCATAGCATCAATGCCTTCGCCTTGCAGGAACTGCTGACACACTCCAGCCACATGAGGTCTAGCATTGTCCTGCATTAGGAGGAACCCAGGGCCAACTGCACCAGCATATGGTCTCACAAGGGGTCTGAGGATCTCATCTCGGTACCTAATGGCAGTCAGGCTACCTCTGGCGAGCACATGGAGGGCTGTGCGGCCCCCTAAAGAAATGCCACCCCACACCATTACTGACCCCCTGCCAAACCAGTCATGCTGGAGGATGTTGAAGGCAGGCAGAACATTCTCCACAGCGTCTCCAGACCATGTCATGTCTGTCACATGTGCTCAGTGTGAACCTGCTTTCATCTGTGAAGAGCACAGGGCGCCAGTGGCGAAGTTGCCAATCTTAGTGTTCTCTGGCAAATGCCAAAGGCTTCTGTACTGTGTTCGTCTGTGAGAAGCCTGATGATGGCAGATGAGATTCTGCTACAACTTTAAAAGCACAACTACAATGACCTGGGAAAATACCCGAACAAAGCTGAATACAATACACGTAAGTACCCACGAAAAGAACATATGTATATATATATATATATTACATATATATATATGTAATATTGATCTTACATATATTTATATATATATATATAAATAAAGCAAGCCGAAAAAGAGTATTATAAAATATGGGATTTATTTTTATTCATGACCAGATAGGAAAAGAGGAAAAGGAAATGAAATGTAATATAACAGATAGTTGCTATTGTGTTATATTTACTATTGTATTATATGTATATTGTAATATACGTATATTGTAATATACATATAATGCAATAGTAACTATAACACAATAGCAGCAATCTGTTCTAAGTGATTATTATAGAATTAGAATATGAATTAGAACTTGTTAAAGTTGAAGTGGGCTCGAAAAGAAGAATGCATGTGCAATTAAAGTCTAATGATGATGTGATAATCATATACGACATGGAAAGTTGATTAATATAATATAAATACAAATTTCAACTCTCGAGGGTAAGAACTATTGGTATTGTGCGCAAGAAATATATATACCAACCGACACTGCACAACTGAAAGAAGGTTTTTTTGTTGTTTTGTGTTTGTGTTTGTTTATGTTTGTTGTTAATTTGAAAAAAAAAAACGGGAAAAAAGAAAGGACCTGTGGACTTCAACTCCCATAATTCCCCAGCCAGTGGTATTAACGCTTCGTGTGACCTGTTTGCTTCCTCTCTTCTGGTCTCTTCCTCTGCAATCTCTACTCTAGTGGTTAGGAAAAAGGAGCGAAAAAACAAAACAAAAAACCAGGCATGGCTTAGATTCTGGGAATTCTGGGAGTTGAAGTCCACAGGCTTCAAAGTTGCCAAGGTTGGATATAATAAAAATAGAAATAGAATACCTTTATTGTCATTGCATTCCACGAATACAATGAAATTTGAAAGCTACTCCAGCCACAGGGTCCCCCCAAACACCCAGATCACAATCGCACTACAGAGCGTTTAAAAATTAAAATAATTACAATAATAATAAATAATAATTAAAAACCTAGTCTAAAACCTATCTAAAACATTTAGTAAGTTAGTTTAAAAATGCCACTATATTCATAGGGCTAAATGCCATATGCACTGTTTGATTCAAGACAATTATTGCCCTGGGAAAGAAACTCTTTCTCAGTCTATTAAGTCCTCATTTTAAGACACCTATAACGCCTCCCTGATGGTAACAGTTCGAAATATGAATGTCCAGGATGAGAACGGTCCGTGGAGATTTTTAGTGCTCTACAGAGGAGTCTGGTCTGGGTACATATTTCTTCGTACATGAAATAATGTTATCATACATGTTTAACTTGTATATATTTATAATCATTCTAATCAGTATTTTATATCACTTATTCTAGCAAGCGATGATTTTTTGTGTGCTGTGTTTATAAACTCTCTGGAGCATCTTCTTATCCACTACAGAGCATCCAGCATACCACACAGTTACACAGTACACAGTTACACAGCCAAAAATATAATATAATAGTAAATATAACTCAATAGCAATGAGATGTTATAATTGCTTATTGGTTAGAATATGAATTGGGTTAGAATATGAATTAGAGTCAGCAAGAAGTGGGCTTTGCCTCTAAAAGGAGAATGTGGAATTTGAAATTAAAGTCTTGACAATGATGTCATCATCACATAAAAGTTGATTATAATACAATTGGAATGTCAGTTTAAATCTAAGAGGAAAAGACTTATAGGTTCTGTGCACAAGAAACGTGTACCAACCGACACACTGTATAATTGAAAGAAGGTTTTACTTGTCGTTTTATGTTCATGTTTGCTGTTACCATCAGGGAGGCGTTATAGGTGTCTTAAAATGAGGACTAATAGAATGAGAAAGAGTTTCTTTCCCAAGGCAATAATAGTCTTGAATCAAACAGTGCTTCATTCCTATTAATAATAATAATAGGAATAATAATTATTATCAATATAATTATTAATATATTAATAATTATATTATTATAATTATTAATAGGAATTATTATCATCATTATCATTATCATTTATTGTTGTTGTTGTTGTTTTAAATACTCTGTAGTATGATTGTGATATGGTGCTTGGGGGCCCCTGTGCTGGAGTAGGTAAAGGAATTCTATTTTAAAAAAGAAAAGAAAATTACAAAAAGAGAAAGAGAAAGAAAGAATGAACACAATAACAGAGTTGGAAGGGACCTTGTAGGTCATCTAGTCCAACCCCCGTCTGCCCAAGCAGGACACCCTACGCCATTTCTGAAAGAAAGGAAAGGAGAAAAAGGGAAGGGATAGAGAAAGGAAGAGAAGGAAGAAAAGAAAGAAAGAAAGAAAAGCAGAAAGTCCAGGTTGCCTCTGGGGGGGCCGGGGGAACACGACACCTTTAGGACAACGCCTGGAGTTGAATTTCCGGTGCAACTTTGGCGGGTTCGGGTTTTTTTATAAAGATTTTTTGGGTGTTTCAGAAATGAGGGGAAGGCAGGTGGTATTCGTTTTACGACAACAATGGAGGCCAAACCATTTGTGTGGCCAAAGCGAGGCGTTTCTTCAGGGAGTTTTACCCCGTTTCGTTTGCACAGAGTCGCTGACGTGGATCGACTTGCGGCTGATCAGAAGTTTTGGTTGTCCCCCTCCCCCGGCGACCGTCATAAACCCGAGTCTGGGGCTCAGAATATTTTAATTTGGGTCGCGTGGGGGTGGGGTGGGAGGTTGCAACCGGTCATTAAGTGTGGGAAAAAAGAAAAACCACCGGGTTCTCGGGGCTGTCGTAACTTCGAGGCGTTGTGAAGTCGAGGACTGGCTGTAAGCTCCAGAAAGAGAGAGAGAGAGTGGAAGGGGGGCGGGTAGGGGGACCGCCCCGCGCTGGGAGGTCGTAAGGCTGAGTCACCGGTCTACCCTCTTCCGCCCTTCAGACCCCCGAAGCCTGCAAGAAGGCCAGGAGCTTCCTGGAGTTCTCGGAGGATTCGGTCCAAGTGCCCAGGAATCTGGTCGGTAAGTGGAGCAGCCCCCCGTTCCCCCCCCCCCCCCCCCCCCC